AGGGTGCTTACCCTGGTGAGCCGCGTGCCGAACGTTGCCGACCCCTGGGCTAGTCCATTATCTTTCTATGCACTATAGCCTCTGTTGATATACTGCCCCTAGAATATCTTTCAAGGTGAAACAGAGCCTAGAAGGAAAAGAGCACATTTTCATTTTCTTTTTATTGATTTGCTTATTTTTCTTTAAAATATATGCTTCAAACTAATTTTACGTTCCTTTTTTTTCTTTCCTTTTTTAAATAAAGGAAAGTAAATACATACTTTCTATGGGGTCCTTTACTCACTTCGTTTGAGTGTACAATTGCTATGTTGAGGAACCTTGCTGTAGATATCCATATTACTTTTTTTTTAATGCATCAGAAATTTGGCCAGGGAGTTCTGATAGTTCTGATAATTTTCTTCAGTGTTCAGAAAGGAAGAAATCATGCCAAAATAATACAGGAAGTTTTGTAAATGTTATAATGTTTGAGATAAAAAGTTCATGTTGGATATAAGTAATCAGATCCTGTTCTCTTTTATCCTGATGTCAATCTGGAGTAATTCCACTGGCTTCATGATTTAAACCAGTGCAACTGAGATCAGAATTTGGGATACAAGCAAGTTTCTTCTCAAGTATTAAAGCTCATTTTTAATAAACAGTTTCCTATAAGTTGGAACAATTTTGCTTTTACAGGGAAATTACCATGTTAAAATGAATTTGCTAAATACTTATTATTACAAATGTATTATGCTCTATGCACTATTGTAATTAAGGAATTAGCATAGAGATATTTATAAAGACTGGATATGCCTTTGTTCTGTTTCTCTTCCCCCTCCATCCACAACCTTCCCATGGAGTTTTTGCTAGGGTTCACATTGCTAGTCCAGGATTGATGGTGTCACACTCGGAGATTAAGTGGGATTGTGGAAAGACTGGTCCTGAGGATTTCTCTCATCTTATTGTGGCTAATGTGGATACAAGAACATCCCACATTTTGTGCATTGGAGGTTGGAAGTAAAAGGTGGATTTTTGTGACTGGTCCTCATCTAGATAATGGATCAGACTGAAAATCTGGATCTGCACTCCCCTTCCCTCAGACAACCTTGCAGTGGCAGGCTTTTTACTCCCGATTTAAATCCCAGGAAATCCACAAATTGACAAACACAACTGAATCAAAAACATCATCCCATACCTTCCCCCACAACTGAGCCTAGGGTCCATGCCAAGCCCAGTATGGGTCATAGTGAACTCCTAAAGTTCTGGTCTATCTATTACCTTTAACTAAGTAGAATTGTGAATCTTCGGTTTATTGCCTGTTCTTGTGGCTGTAATGCCAATGCATTTATCATATAGAGTATCATGTAATTTACAAAATATATTTATGAATCTGAAGGCCAGTGAACATGCACTAAATTATTCCAAAGAATGTCTCCGACTGTCAGTTTTATTTTCTGCTTTTTTTGCAAAACTCAAAAGCAATCAATCAGTCAAGGTTAATGAAAATACTGTATGAAATTATAATACCCATATGTTTTCTACTTTCTCTGCTCTGAACACTAATATATGGTGAACCTTGATACAAACCTCTGTTGTCTATGAGCGTAAAATTTGGATTGTGAATAATTTCAGGTGGTAAACTGAAGATAAATCTCGGTCCGTTGGCTGCATCATCCTTGTCATCAGCAGTAATTGTAATAAATGCCTGTAAAAATAAAGGTAGCTTGTAAACAAATAGTGCCTTTGTTGGGTACATAATATTGCATTCAAATAGGGTTTTTTTCAATATTGTGAATTTTGAGAGCCAAAGGGAAAAGAAAGAAAAAACATCATTTACTCTTATAAATATACTATGGGTATAAAGCTCAAATAGACAACTATTTCTGTTACTATATTTAGTCAAGACAAATGTTTTTATAATATTATATAATAATATAATATTGTATATAATATTGAACTTAAACGTGGGTAGGTCTGAGGAAATAGCATAACCTCGCCCCTCCCTTCCCCCCAAACTGGCAAACATAAGTAGTGTTAATAAAATAATTTAAACTCCCAATTGGAAGTAATCCTTTGCTCCAGCTACTCCTAGCAGTAGGAATATCTGCACTAGGATAATACATACACAGGGTATGATTGGATACATTTGTGGGCTACACCCTGTAAGCCCCATTCTATGCTTCCTGTTATAGAAGGCAGAGTGTCTCTCCAATATTTGACGTGTGCCCATGATTGTGAAAACTAACTCCTACCCTTGCTTCTACTGTAAATTTGCTGGTATACACCTGTGGCCATGGCCAGCCAAAACTCAAACCTTGAAATGTTGTGTGTGCATGTGCGTGCACCCACACATTAATTTCGTTCAATTTTGATGTCAAATTAAAAAAAAAGTGCCTCTCTATTTGCTCTAGACACCTTTGCCAAAACTTAAAAATAGCAACCCAGCTTCCAACTTCCAAACCAAACTGAACTCCAACCCAGGAATAAGGAACTTCCCCCATCAGGGGAATGTAACGGATAGAAGATACCTTGTTGCTCTGACCATTTTCACAAATAAATGCTTCATAGGTTGATGCAAATTTTGGAGCATTGTCATTGACATCAAGGACCTTAATTGCTACAGGAACTTTGGCTTCCTGATGTCGGTTGTCTATAAGAATAAATGAAAAACAAAACAAAAGGGAGACAAAACAAAGCTATAATACTTTTATTAAAGTTAAAAAAGAAACAACCAAAAACAAAGTATTCCTGCTATGTATTATTCCAGCCGTTATACCCCACATAAACAATGTGAGGAGTATAGTATTTATATCACTGAGTTGTAATCCTCTGTAGAATACTTACAGACTTCAGTTGCAAAGACAGAGATGTTATGCCAAGCAATTTCTTCCCTATCCAGAGTTTTGATGGTCTTAATGTAACCATCTTCTGGACTGATACTAAAATATCTTTCAAGGTCAGTGTGACGATCAATTGAATACCTTGAACGAGATGAAAATTGAGTATTAGACAAAAGAATTACATTGCAGCCTGATGTTTCAGTGTTTGTTCAACAGTATATTTCATATTATTTTAATATAGTTTTTCAGTAGCATGCTTGCAAGATGGACATATTAATGGAATTTATCAAGCAACTTTTTAATGGAAATGTATTTCCATTATTTATTAATGTCTATGTATCAGAGGCATTTTGCACTGTCAAGTTCTTATATAGTATATATAATAAAAACATTTATTCTTTGAAGACCTTAAATGATAACCTTTGAAAAGTGTCTAAATTCCTTTAATTTGTATGGAATATTTTGAGATATTTATATTTTCTACCTGTTCCAAATTTATTTCTTTTAATTTTCAGAACACTCATAACATTATAGAATTTATCATTTCCTAGATTATTTAAAATTAATTGATTTACTAAACATCTCTGTATTCTTATACAACAGTATGTTTTACTATGGCTTTCAGACATTCACTTTGCAACTCTTTGGAGCATATGTTATGACAACAAAGCATTTTAAATAGCTTCATATCTTAATTAAAAGTAGCAAGATGACGCCAGAAAACACACATAGCAAATGCTACTTTATACCTCTCTCACTGTATGTGTGTGTATGCTTGTGTGTGTATATGCAAAGACACATAGTGGTTGTCATAAAAAGTTAACAGTTGACAATAGTAACCACACAATAGTATCTGAGCTATTGCAGTTATTTCTATTCTAATTTTATTGAAAAATTGATGTCTTTGATAATATTGTAGTAAATATACCTTGTAATAGTGACCAATATGAGTTGCTATGCAGACATAGCTATAAAAAATTGTACATGAAATATGTCCTAAATATGAGAAAATGTGCAAAACGAATAGCTACAAAAAGACACATGCAAATAAAAGAAGATAACTGACTAGGTACCATTACATCATATTAACTAAAAAGTTATCTTGTTTAGTTCTATATAAACAATAGGACTAGATTAATAAAGTGTACCTTATAGCACTATTTGCAGCATCAGGGTCTTTGGCATGTACTCTCCCAACAACAGCACCAGCTGCCGCGTTCTCTTGTACTTCAAGAATATAACTTGGTGCTAAAAATATGGGGGGCTCATCAGCATCCTCAACTGCTACCTTTACAGTTACAGTATCCTTGAATGGTCCATTGCTGATGAACTTAGGATCAATATGTACATTGGCTGCCTCTACCTTCAGACTGTAGGACTTTTTGGTTTCATAATCTAGGAGCTGTAAGAAATAAGAGGATGATGCATCAGTTGGACAGTGCCAACAACATTGAAATGTAAAAGCTAGTTCCTTAGAATATGATAGCAGAATCCCTATAAACCAGATGTTTGCATAGCACTTAATATGCAAAGACTCAAATGTCCGAGACCTTTAAAACATGTGCTAAATAGTCAAAGTGAGGAGCTACCCACTCCAGCTACAGTAGAGAAAAAAACTCAACATACTGGGCCAGATTCCCTACCATGCCCTGTGCCTGTTGTACTGCTTAGGAAACCACCCACATCTCATCAGCTGGGGATTCCTCCAGCAGCAGGAGTCCCTGCTGCTACTCCAACTAGAGCCCCAACACAGAGAGCATGTTGGGGCAAGGAGCAGTAAGGAAGGGATGTGTCTGGAGCATGCTGCGCTCTGTCTATCCCCAGCTAGCAGACAGTCCCTTGGGAATAGTTGGAAGGGAGCCTACTTTAGGGCAAGGGTAATCAATTATTTTTTGTCAAGGTCCAAATTTCTCAGTCAAGGTATAGTCAAGGTCCAGACTCAAAAGAAAATAATATAGTAATAATAATGATGATGATTATAATAAGTAAATAAAAGGATTTTTGGTCCGTTCAAAATCCCGCTTTGGCCCGTGATCCACCTATTGACTATCCCTGCACGAGGGGCTGAATCAAAGATACAGAAGTGATCCTTTTACTTGAGACATGCCTTCTATGGTCATACATTATGGTCAGATGGTAGCATAGGAGGTGCTATAGTGGCCCTACACCAACTAGGAATTTCCCCACTGTGGAAGAATTCTCCAGAAGTTGGATCTGTCTGCTTTATGGACACGGTGTGGTGGTCAGCTGGCACCCAATGGCCATAGCAAGGGTCAAGATCTGGCCCATAGGAAGGAAAGAGAGGTTGATGTGAGTCATATGACATAGTGAATAAATTATATGAGTTCAAGTTGATGATAAATATTGTACTAGAATTACACTTGTATTTGGCATGGTGTCTTTCTAACTCATCTACTGAACATCCACTTTTCAAAAAGTAAATAGAAATAACAATTAATGAATAAATATCATAAACATAACGGTGGGGAAAGTGTGAAGATTATTCTTTGCACTTCTATAGCTCTTCCATCCAAGGATCTCTGAGCACTTTAGAAATATGAAGGGAATAAGCCTCACCACAGCCTGTGAGGTAGGAATTCTCCTCCATGTTTCAGATGACTGATCCTAACTATGGTGTACCTGCAATGTCTCACTGACACAGAGAGATTGCAATGTTTCAGTACCGTAATCCACAATATGGTTATGTCCTTAAATGTCTGAGAGGCAGGTGCCAACTGTGGCTATCAAACTATGCTAACAGCATAGAATGGACTGCAGGCCGTGATAACATACCAGCTACAGCTAAAAAAGCAGTGCAGACTCAGTAATCGAAGAGCTATTAAAACAATGAGCAATCAAAAAACATCACAGTAGTGCAATAACTACCAGTATTCCGAGCAGTGACTGCCTCACCATCTCAAAAGTAAAGCACCATCTCCAAGAAATATTTTTGTATTAGTTTGAGAGACAGGAAATTCTATGTTACCTACATAAAACAGGGTGTTGATTTATTTGCATTTTGTGTGTGTGTGCTTGTTTGTTTGATTACAAGTATGCACTTTGTGATGCAGTATTATGACAGTTTTGCTATACTAGGGGTTAACGGATTTTCTAACAATTGCATACTCTTTTTATAGTTGAGACTTTATTGTGCTGGCAGTTCTGTGTCATGGCAATATTTACAAGATCCCCTTCTCCCTGATCAATGTACCCATTTTGGGAAAAGTTCTGGGGTGAACTAATGTTACTCAAGTCCCTTATGAAATTGACCTAGGATTGGGGCAGAGGTAAGAAATACTCTGAGGATAACTGCTCAATTCCTCCTTCACAGAGCAGATATTTGGGGTTTGATCTAGCATAGCATAGGTGCATGGTGAAGAAAGCAAAAGGTGAAAAGCAAAACAGGGAGTTCATGGAATATGATCCCCCACTAATGAGATGCTGCTTCTTGCCTGCACCCCCCCCCCACAAGTAAAGTAGCAAAGTGCCACATGAATGCAGAGTATCACACTTAAGCCCATGTTGCCTCAAAGATGCCCATTGTCCACCCACACCACACCCCAATTTTACCCTTTGTTTTGAGAATAAAGGAGTGAGTACATAAGGGACTTCAAACTTCATACACTAGAGCGAAGAGGAATACCAGTATTGTTGAAGCCATGTAGGTCCCAGGATGTTAGAGAGACAAGGTGGGTGAGGGTAATATCTTTTAGTGGACCAACTTCTGTTGGTGAGAGACAGAGGCTTTCGAGCTTACACAGACTCTGACCTGAAGAAGAGCTCTGCGTAAGCACGAAAGCCTCTCTCTCTCTCACCAACAGAAGTTGGTCCAATAAAAGATATTACCTCACCCACCTTTTGTCCCTAGTGTTTAACCTCACTTGTGCACATGCACAGCCTCCTCTTACCCATGTGTTGGAGGAGGGCAATGATGCCATGGTCCATATTTGAGACCTCACTCTTGTTAGTAATGTAGTGGGAACAGAAAATGACCTGGGGTCATCAAGGTATAAATTAAAACTACAGGGAGTGTTTGCTAGGTTTCAGTGTTGTGCAAGACTTTGTTACTAATGAAGTTGAGGCTGTTGCATTTCATCATGATTTGCTATCAGGTGTTCATTGTGCTATGTGCAGTGGCTTCAGCAATGTAATACAAGGAAACTGTTTTTGAATTGTGGGCACAAACCATTTGAAATGATCTTAGCTAGTCAAATGGCAGAATCCTTTGATGGGACTATAACATTGTTCTACGTGACTTTCTATTCTTACTTGCACACTACTTCATCCTTTTCTTTCTATCTACGTAGAATGTGGGGGAAGCAATATTGATATTTAAAATGATTTCTTTTATCAGAAATGCAGACAAATCCTCGATACTTTGCACTTTATCTTAAAATTCTTATGACTCTGCCAACTTGAAAATGAATGCTTGGTTAAAACAACTAAAGCAAACCCATCATTTATTTCTGCGGTAATTCTCAGTATGCTTCGAAGAGTGAAAGGTGTTGATTTCTCTAGTGGTAGATCAGTACAGAACGCTGTTAAAGAATATATAATAGTTTCTTCACTTTATATTAATAAACCCACTATAGAGCTTTTTTGTAGTACTGCTTTCCATTCAGTTACTTCCTTCCATTTTGGCTCTAGGCATTATCAGAGAACAGTAAAATGGGAGCTCAGAGGTCATCACAGCTTCATAAACAAACGTATACACAAATTTTTCATAATTTTAACATGGACACTAATCTATTGCTATTGTATCGTCTGTGAGAAAGAAAATAAAGTATGTTGTGTATATTAATAGGCTTGAAACGCGAGGATTGCTCACCTTCTTAAGCTTTACAACACCTTCCTGAGTCTCATAATCTGTTGTAATTTCAAACATCTCCACACCATCTCCATCAATGATGCTGTAAGTCACTAAGCCATTTTCTCCAATATCTGGATCTTTGGCCTTCAGTCGTCCTACTTCTTCCCCTGGTATGGATGCTTCTGATATTGACATCTGGTACACACCTAGGCAAAAAGCATTCAGTTGTAATTGCACAGTTTGCTTCTTCAAGTATTTGTATTTTTACCTGTTTCATTCATACATGCAAATATAGCACAGCAAATTTTAAAACTTTCAAATTATCCACATGCACTAATGGAGTTATTCACTGAAGGAATGGTTATATTATAAAGGTCTAGGTTACTTTGAGATTGAGGTCATTTGTGAAATCTGAGGTCATGTTGCTAATCTGTATAAAATTACCTTCCCAATTACTACCTTCACCTCTAGTGTTCTAGCAGGAGTTAAAAGGCCAACTGATCATACAATCAGAATGCAGAAATTATTGTGACATCAAGGTTATAATTCATATTGGAGATGTTATTACAAAAATCTAGAGAAAATTACATTTCAAATGATTCATGGTATGAACTTCAACAGCGAGAAGCCTAGGAGGGTAACTGACATTCATTCAAAAGCCACAAATTATATAACAGGAACTGGATAAAATCTTACTGCTGTGACACCTAAAAGAATAAATCTGCTGCTTTCCATGGTTCTCACCTGAAATGTCAAATTGCATTCACTGCAAAGTAGTGAAATTTAGCACCATTCAGTACATGTCGGATTATGTAGGGCCCCAGTACAGATCCATAGAGGGGAGAATAACAGGAAACTTTCCCACCCTACCTCATGGACTATACCCTCTGTGGGGCCCAGTGGCACAAATCTCTGGAAAGGGCGAGGATGGTGCAGTGTAAGCAATGCTCCTGTGCACAAGGAGGCTCCAAGCAGTATACTGTGTCCTGAGGCACAATTCTCCTGCGGCTCTTTCTACAGTGATGCAAATCTCTGGGTGCCTTCCAACCCAAGCCAGAGTTTAAATAGCACCGCCTGCCCCTAAATACCGATTAACCAGTTTGGAATTCTTTACATTTCCCATAGCATCAACATTGACCTGAACAAACCCAGGGAAGCATACAGCCAGCAAGATAAAATATAATGGGCTAAATCTAACCCCCGCCCTCAAGTATCATTTGAGGAACATCAGTGGAGATATACCAGGTGTGGACTTGCTTCATTCACTGTAAACACAATAGACATATATGATAGAAACAAAACACTAACTCCAGGTACAATCAAGCCTAAATTAAAGCAGGTTGCACAATAACAGTTTGATCTATTGACAGACAGTCAGTTAGACGTCAAATGAATGCAATGTGTTAAACTGGTAGACTTCTGCAAATTTAACATCTTTCTTTTCTTGCTGGGCAAGTGAAACATTTTTTTTAAAATACAATTCAGCGCAATTTGTCCTACATGGTAGAAAATCCCCTCCAAGATAGGGGTAATTTTAAGGCTCCATGCTTGGACTTACATCCAGACCCAACGTTTGAATGAGCTAAAATAAACAACTAAACAAGATGAAAATACATGTGAAAACCAAATAGCCACCCTGGCAACTAAAAACTAATGCACTTTACTTGTAGTAACTAGCATTATTTGTCACCAATCTGAAAATTTAATTGAGCTAAATTTTATTTGATCTGCTATCTGTGGATATTACTATTCACAAGGGAGTAAAGGTCCAATCCTACAATCTTTAGCCACATGAACAGTCCTTGACTTCAGTGGGACTACGCATACAAGTGAAGGATGCAGCATCAGGCCCTTAAATTGAAAGAATACATGAAATAGAAAGTGATGCTCACTCCGCTACAGGGCTGTCAAAGAGCTGAAAGAGCATAACTATGAGTTGTTAGCAGGATGTGCAATGCACTTTCATCTGTGGCCAAGGAAAGCACCTCTTGCCTGAGAAACACCTTAGACAGCGTAGGTGCAGCTGAGGTAAAAAGATCAAATAGATCATCTGCCATTCACTCAAATTTATCAATAGACAGAAGTGGATTTGCACAGTTAGAAATGACTATCATAAGCTACAACTTGGAAATAGCTATGAATAGAAAGAACTGAATAAGGGAAAACCATTTTGGCTCTTCTTTAGAACCGTGTTAGTCTCACTGCAAGAGCCTACTGGTGTATGTAGACCAAGTTACTGTGGGAACCCCATATATATTGTACATCTCCAAAAATAGAATAAACTGCTGACACGCAGTGGAGGTGAGAATTAGAAGATCCATTCTTTTAACTCCTTCTGGTTCTCCATCAGATTTTTGACAGAATCTCAAAGATGTTTTTTCTGGTAATGTTATAGTCTGAACAGAATGCAAAACGGAGCCTGCTTTTTCTGAGCAGGCTTTTGTACATCTGCAGCATTAAAAACTAGAGTTGGAAAACACTTATTAAGTAATTTTAATCCATTATTGCCGCAGTGCAAGTCTTTCCCCTAAAGTATATTTTCAAGGGCTTTCTCCAGCCTAGTTTTAACTGTCTCAATTACAGGGGCTTCACTTCCATAAAAGTCTAGACAACATCACATTGATCTCACCATAGGTACGTTTATAATACAACATGGTTCGATGGTTTTCAAAATGAAGCATGGAGCCAGGAATCCCCTGCCTTCTAATCCTGGCTCTGAAAATGACTCACTCTGTAGCACTACACAAATCATTTAAGGACTCTGCATAAAATAATACTTACCTATCTCACATTTCTGTTGTGGTACTCCATTCGTTACTATTAGTTACTATTTGTTTGAATACACAAGGCACTACACAAGTGTTAAGTATAATTAGTAGTAACCGTTATGTATTAAGGGACTTGTCACTTACTCTGTGGGAACTTTGGTGGGTTGTCATTGACATCAGTAAGTGTAATTGTCACTTTGGTTGTCCCTGAGAGTCCTCCCATGTGTCCTCCCATGTCTTTTGCCTGTATTACAACATGATATTCTTCCTTAGCTTCTCTGTCCATGTTGGGAAGAGCAGTTCTAATAATACCTGTACATTCAAAGGAAAAATGTTATATACATATTTGTAGTTATTCAAAACTGGTACCTGCATATTATACAGTGTATTTAAGATGTATCATACATGGTGTGTAGAGCAACAATGGCCCAGAGTCTCCCCTGGGGTTCTAGCCACTATGCACCATACCATGAAGGGAAAGCGGCCCTAAAATCAACACAGCTGACCACAAAAGTATCACCAGGGTAATTCTTCAGCAGCATAGAGTCTGCATATCAGCTTCTACACCATTTCTCTGCGACTCATACCGGGGAATAGTCCTGTCTCAGGGATACCTCTCTTAAATGCCACAGGACCACCCTACTGAACAGCTTGGGTAGAAGAAGGAGAGAATGAATGTGGCTTAAAGCTATCTGTATGCACACCCCAAGATGAACTGCATTGCCCCTCAGCTGCTACTGAGGTTCTGGGCCAAAATATTTAGTTATTCATATTGATGTACTCGAAAAAGTGATGGTGTTCCAAACAAATAAGTCTGGCTCAGTCATACCTGTTTGTGCTTCCACGGAGAAGTAGGGCTGACCTTCAAGAATACTGTAAACCAGTTTGGCACTGTTCCCATAGGTAGGATCATCAGCATCCGAAGCGGTTACCTGAATAACTGATGTACCTAAAAAAAAAGAGGAAGGACATTTAAAAAGTAAATGTGTTTGCTAAAGCCACACAGAGCTGCTTTCAGTCAAACCATAGAGAAGCCTGTTCTATGTGACTATTTCCACTCCAAAAAAACAAAACAAACACATTTCAACAATTACTGAGATCTATTTAGCAATTTGTGCTTTAGAAAATACAAGCCCTAGGAAGTCACCAATAATGATAGGGATTATGGGTCATCTCCATCCAATAAATTATACAGCCTAATATACACTATTCCCACAGGTTTTATGTTTTCCTTGGCATTATACTACTTTGGCATTATATAGCCACCCAAGACTACCTCTGTCATATGGATAGCTACACTCTCCACAAGTAAACTCACAGAAATGCTGCTTGTAGTGATCCCCACGGCAGGGGTGAGCTCTTCTCTGGCTGGCTGATTTCAACCCTGGAAAAATGTAAAGTGGCACCATGCCCTAGCTCACAGCTATATTACATAGCTCAGCCAAAATGAAGAGTACTATACACCCTGTAGATCATTGCACCTCTTGCACCACAGACCTTGGTTTGAGCCCTCTCAATTGGGGGAAGCCCCCCACTCCTCGACCCTCATAAAGGCTTGCAGAGACTCCACAACCATCAGTCTTGTAGCATTGCCAACTCTCATGATTTTATCTCAAGTGATTTCAGAGGGTTTTGGAGCTCGTCTTGTGATGCTCCAGCCCCCTCAAGAAGTTCACCCCTTCTGGAAGCCAGCAGAGTCTCTCATCTTGGTTCACCGTGCTCAGAGGAGGGGTGTGGGGCAGAGGGAGCAAAGAGCCCAGCAGCCCTGTGTGGCTCAACTCTCTTCTCCCTCTCCCCTCTGTGAGAAACACAGACAGGACGGTGCTTCTTCTCCTCCCCCCTACAACATCCAGCCTAGGAATGGGCAGAGGGGTGTGAAGAGCTCCCTGGAGCTTCCCCTCCCCCCACCAGCCTGGGAAAGGGAAGATGAGAGGGGACGCTGCTGCTGCCCCCCAGGCCTGGGCATGAAGAACTGTAGGAGGAGCAGAGGTGAGACTGGGGGTGCTGAACTGGGCTGGGAGGCTAGAGGATGCTGCCATGTTCGGGGAAGGGGAGAAGCCCAGGGGCTGCGGGAAGGAAGAATAATTAAAATAAAATGAATTATTTTTAGCTCTTTGAACTATTAATTAGGAGGGTTTTTTTTTTTAAATAAATGTATTGTGATTGTGGGATAGTGTAGATATTTACATGGTTATCAAATTATACAAAGAAAGAAGAATGACAAAAAGTTATTTTTGACATATTTTGAATATAACTGTATTGATTATTTAAAAAAAAATATTTAGGGCCTAAACATAATTACTGCACTGAAAAACAGAAAGCTCTGAAAGGTGGTTGATGTTGTAAAGGTATTCTTGCATGTACACATTTTCAGCTCAAATAAATCTTTACTGAAAAATAACTGGAAAACTTAATAAATAGAGGGAGTGCTGTGTGTGATGAGGCTGTTCATTGTTCATTTCTCAGTTCCATTTTATAGGCCTTCTACAGTATGTTGCTAAATATGTGTGATTTAGGTTTTTCCATCATATTTTAATTTTATCACACCATGGAGCTCTCCACTGAGCGTTATCTTGGGTATAACCACTTAATACAAGTGCTCCCGGTTTTTCCAACCTGCAGGGATGCCTTCTTTCTGCCCTAGCTCTCCATTTTTAAAGGGATACTTTTGAGATACCAATAACAGAAGCATCACAAAATTATATTGAAATGAGTCATTGCTTAGCACTAGTCCCCACCCCCCAAAAAACCACCAAAAACAACCATTCTGCATCTTCTCTATTCTAATTCTCCTTCAATATGCATACACTGAGTCTTCATTTGAGCTGCCATAGAAAGGTATGTGTGCATTAAAGGTTGACTTTTCAATCTGAAATTATCACACAAACATTTCCAAAAGAGTAGAGGCGGAGTTAAAGAATCAAAAGACAGATTAAAATACATGGTTTGATGGTGGTTTTTAAATCTCATGATTTCTGAGACCAGTCTCATGATTTTGATCTTGTGAGGGGTCTGACTCAAGATTTTTGATCTCATGTGGTTGGCAATACTGGATTTACTGTAGCAGAGTTTGAATCCTTCAGCTAATTAGAGCAAATGACAGAGAATGTTTAATTGATTAATAGAGGAACTGAATACATTTTACCTTCCAGACGTTGGAAAGATGTTAATTAGATTAGAGTAAGATTCACTGTCAATGTAATTTACTCCGAAAAATGTAAACTGGCATGCATTTATCTGTACCTACCCACGTTGGACCTCTCTGGCACATTCGCATGATAGTTTTCGTGTAGGAACTCAGGTGGGTTGTCATTTATATCTTGAACTTTCACAATGAATTCAGAGGGTGGTTCCAAAGGTCTGTTAGTGTTTCTGTCTACAGCTTGTGCCGTTAGAATATACTGAGCTCTCTCTTCTCGGTCCAGTGTCTTTGTTGCATGGATGTTCCCTGATTTGTCATCAATAACAAAAATGATTCCTGCGCCTTCACCTGAGAGAATGTATTTAATGTTTCCATCTCCAGAATCGATATCTGAATGAAGCTATAAAATGATAAACATACATATTGTAACAAACCAGTATACACTGTATTTCCAGCCATTAAAATGGTAATTGAATTACTGTACAGTACTGTCTGACTCAACTGCCACTGCTGACTCAACTTTCTTAACTTTCATGACTAATGCAGACTTCAATTTCATGAGTCAGGTGCACAATGGACCAGATTTGTTTTTGCTTACACATGTCTAACTTACATTTAAATCAACAAACTGATAACAGAATTTGGCTCAGTGAGTCTGACTCTCCACTCTATTACACCGGTCTTAAACTAAAATAACCCAAATGACTTTGGAGGCGGTAAAATAAGTGTAACAGAGGGGAGAGTCAGGCCCAGAATATCTAATGCAGTCTAACATATTTAATCTTACTGAGTAATGTCTTAAAATCTAGATATACAATTAGAGTATGTGTTCACTGCAGCTAGGAGCTGTAATACTCAGAGCAGGTAGACAGACTTGCATTAGCTCTCCTCTAAAGATAGCAGCATGGCAACGTGGCACAAGTGGTGGTTCAGGCTAGCCACCCAAGTCCAAGCCAGTTGTCCCTAGCTGCTGCTTGTGCCACATAGCTATTTTTAGTGAGCTCACTATTTTTAGTGAGCTAGTCAGTCTAAATGCCCTGGGATTCACATCTCCCAGCTGCTTTGTAGACATACACTTACATTTTTCTTTTACTTTAGCGTGTCAGGTCAAATCTATTTTTAACCACTATTTTAGAACTTTTACACAAATTGGTATTTTCTAGGCTAGTCTTACAACAGTGAGAGCTATGCTCTACTGATTGGACACCAAAATTAAGAATGGTATGATGATTTACTGGGACACAGTGGCCAGTTTGGGGATCAGGCTTGTTGTGCAAATGATCCTTTTGGTCCTAGCAGTGAAGGTTTCGACCTACTGCTCTCAGGTCTCAAGTCAAAGTGTACTGAAGTCAATGGAAAGACTCCCCGTGATTTCAATACACTTTGGATCAGATTCTTATTGAGCAACAGATGAAATGATTAATACCAGAAGTTTCAGAGGGTGCTGATTAGGCAGCTGGTATGAAAAAAGTACTGGAGGAAAAAAGCAGCTCACACCGCAATGAGGCAGGAAATAGTACCTATTAAAATACAAATGAAAACGCAGAATACATTTCTTACCTTGCCAACTAGTACAGGATCTGGTCCTGTGTACTCTTCTATTACAAAGAACTGATTCCACACCCAGCCTCTTTTTGAACGATGTAGAACTTGCCCTTCTTTTCCTTTTTCATGGTGACCATGGAGTGACGGCCTTAAATGGTTAAGTTTTTCTGTAGACATGGCATGGCTGTAATATAGCATGCCCAGGCAGATAAGAGCAGCATGTAAACAACTGTCCTCCTTCATTTTTGGTTAATTTATAGGCACAGGAGTATTCGAGAATCTACTCCTTCCACCCAGAGCCACCTCTGAAGTAAGAACCTTGGAGCTACTGGAAAATTTCAGATGTAATGTTCTGCATATAGGATGCCACCTCTCATTAAGTGCATCACTTTAATGCTCTGCAGGTTCCCAGCTTAATTGCTGAAAGAAAGAAGAGTGCAGAAAAGTGTCAGTCTTTCCCCTATCTTTGAGAAGTGACAATTATAAGCCAACTGCAATTTCTAAAATGAAACTATTACCAACATAGCACAGGTGTAATAGCCATTGTCCACTTAAAGAAAATAACAGCATTCAAAAACTAATGATTTAGTAGGAAAATAATACTCTGATATAATTACTACCAACTATGAATATTCTAGATAAGGGTTTTTTTCTGATGCTTTTCCAGTAAAACTCCTTGCTTTTTTACTGAAGAGTCTGTCAGTTATAATTTCCCCCTTCTCCTAATTCAGTAGAAAATGATGCACATGATCGCAGCTTGCATTCAGTACTCTAATAAAATATTGTCAGTGAGTGCTTAGAAGCATTCCCAAACCTCAGTGCTTCCCTTGTCACTCCTGTCTCTACCAACCTTCACCATCATGAATGAGTAAAAACACCTAAAGACTCTTTGATAATGTGACCTTTGGCAGTAGCACCCATTCCAGGTGTCTCTAAGGGTATGTCTACAATGTAATAAAAGACCCATGGCTGCAAATGGCCTGCGTCAGCTGACTCAGGCTTAGGCTGCTGGCTAAAAATTGCAATGTAGACATTTGGGTTCAGGCTGGAACCCAGGCTCTGAAACCCCATGAGAGGGGTGAGTTTCAGAGCCCAGTCTCAAGTCTAGCCCAATCCTGAATCGCTAGACTGCAACGTTTAGCCCCACAAGCCAAAGTCAATTGACCCGGGCTCTGAGACTCAGAGCCACGGGGTTTTTGTATTGCAGTATATACAAACCCCTAAGATTTTAGTTGCTCAAATGACATTGCCTCTTTCTTTATATCTGATCACGTCTATGTACAATAGGTCAGGGTCAAAGTTTGACCATGAGATTGTCCAATACAGTGAAACTTGCACTAAGGACTACATTTCCAGTACTAACAACCCATCTTAAAGAACCACTTGGATATATATACCTCTTGGGCTTCCCATACCAAGTTTTTCAGCCTTTATTTAAAGAACACCTGTACTCTGTGGTGCTGGAACAATTTGTACAGTCGGGGTGCTGAGAGCCATTGAACCAAACTGTAAACCCTGTATGTGATGGAAACCAGCACCCCTAGTTCCAGCACCTATACCTGTACTGAGCAACCAACTTTTACTGTTCCTGGAAGGTTTATTTTAGGTTTCTCAGTAATTCACTTTGTATCTGCTACAGAATACTAACAAAATAATTCTATTCTCAGAGGTATATATATACACACACATACAACATTTGCCAATTCTCTCTCTCTCACACACACACAAACACATTGTTCTGTGTTAGTTAAGGATGCTCTATAATAATATATGTAACACAGAAAGACAAGGAACTGAAAAGTTAATGCTGCCCACACTCTACTCCTTCACCCAAAGACACACAGCTCACTATTAACAAAGCCATACCACAGAGAATGCACCCCACTCTTAACTCTCTCCCACTAGAAATGCCACACATTCAGCATCCCCTTCCCCAAACCCTATTTATACCCTCCCCTCACCGTACCCTTTGCACAGTTCTGTTCAAACACATACATTCAGGTTTGAGGAACAGGGTGTGCTAAACATTTGGGGCAGACACACAGTGTTTTTCATATAAAACAAAGACGTTGATCTTCCATTTTTAGTGTAAACCAGAAACAATCTTAACTATGACATTGCAATGGCTCCAGCCTAATATATTCAATGAGGCTTATGCATATATTTTGAGAACATAATCTGGTGCAGAAGAATTTGACTTTTCTTTCTCGGGCATATTTAATAAGACCATTTTAAAGTAACGATTTGAATTTTTTTCAATATTATTTTCTCTATGCCATATTATGGAAGAGTCATAAAAGGATGGGAGATGGGAAAGCCAAGAACACTATTCATCCTTTAAAGGAAAACCCCACAATTTGACTCTGAAAAATGCTTTAAAATTTCAGAAATCTATGTTAGGTATAAACTGTGGATTGTATCAAGGAACAAAGGATTTAGTCAGAGCTGTCCTTTCTGAGCTTACTTATGTTTGCTACCATTTTGCTGATAAGTGAAATTATTTTTGACACCAGAAGCGCTGGAGCCTGAAATAAGAGACTGAAAACTAGTTTTTATTCTGTTTTATTAGTGGTTTATTCATGAAAAAAAAAAAAAAAACCTTCATCATGGAACGATCATTTCAGTTCTTTCTCTGATAATAACTCATTCTTAGAGAAAATGGAAACAGATTATTTCTCACTTTTGTGTAGAAAAGTCAAATTGCAGCACCTATTACTTCATGATTACTGGCTAAGCGTCACTACCATTTAAGTAAATATCCATTAAACTTAGCTCAAAGTTTAGAAATGTCACCATAAATATACAGCCAAATTCTTCTCCAGTTACACAGGTGTAAATCCAGAGTCACTCCAATACACTCAATGGTATGACTTTGGATTTACACCAGAGTTGAGAGCTGAATTTAACCCACCCTCTAAAGTCACCTCTGTACATGGGGATATTTTTGTCCGCATTCATCTGTTTTGGGCACAACCAAAACTCTAAATACTGTAGCTGGCTCAGCTTGATGCATAACTGCATTCACTTAACCTAAAATATGGATGTGTTTCAGGAGCAGTTTCCTATGGAGTGTCCTTTCAAATGAATGGAGCACCATGATGTGCAAGTTATAGCCAGTTATACTGGTCACGTACACTTGCTGGAAGCATGCTATTCTGAAGTGCAGCAGTTAATAGCACTGGCACGTTTTTATAATAAGGCCCCAACTCTCCAATAAGATAAATGGAGATAGTTGCCCAGTTTTGCTGCTGGTGCATTGTTTCACCTTATTTTACAGCAGGCTTAGCAAGTGAACAGTTTGTATTAATAGAATTTCAAAACAAGTTTAGAAAGAAAAAATATAAAACAATTGTATATTTGAATCCTGTTCTCCAGATCGTTAATTTCAAATCATGCCACCAACAATTAAAGTAAGTAAACAACCAAATATTCCATAATACCCAAAACATCGTATAACTTAATTACATAACAATACTGGTAATAATCAGCAAAGGCTTTATAAAAGATGCTTTAAAATAATGGAACAGACATTCAGATACATACAAGTGTTTGCTATCAGTTATTGAAGTGTGAAGCACTAGATACAAAACATTAACCACACATCCATACTTAATTTACTAATTAGGATTTAAAATGGTAATTGCCTCCAATCCTTTATTTTTAAACCTCTTTGCGAGAGGAATAGGGTTATGTATTCCTAATACAAAGGGAAGTATTGTATCTAAATGGGTCTTTTTCTAAGAGCCCAATTCTGTAAACACACAATGGGACTGATCATAGCAGTATGGTCTTTGCACACTAGTAAGTAAGTTCCAAACCTATCTTAATAAAGAAAGTTAATAACTTTATATCAGATCCTCAGCTGGGTAAATTGACATAACACCAGTGAAGTCCATGAAGTTACTCTGATTTAAACCAGCTGAGTATTTGGTGCTTTATTTATAAAGTGCTTCCTACCAGCCAAGGTGTATGAAATGCTGCTAAATTAAGGTATAACAACAACAAATATAACTAAAAACCAAACTACAGTGGCATCTTTAAAAAGAAAGGAGACTTGCTTCCAAAACAATTAACTCAAATCATTTCAACCATTTAAAAGTAACTTCCAGGTTGAAAACAAACAGTTTATTTCTTCAACCAGCCAATATGGAAAAACAGCTAAACAATTTATAAACCAATTATCGTCTTTTGGCCAACACTGGAGGAAAAATACCTCATCACTCCCCAAGCATGGCATGCAGATCTGGGAACTGAATTTGCAGCAGATGATTGGAATGTGGCTCTGGTTAGTGTCCAGAAAGCCACAATTTGCAACAGATTGATTCAGATGCTGTACTACATCACATGTAGATAAAACAGTTAGAATAATTCATTGTGAATTTTGCCTTTCTTCAATCAATGATTAGTTGGGAACACCTATTTTAAAATGATTATGATTATTCAACTAACTCTACAGAAAGATTGTACCATTCCGAAACTAAGGCAAACAATATGGATGGCCATCTATCCAGATTGCCCCAAATACCGTATCCTAATTTTTTCACTATTGTTCGGAATTTCATAATAAACAGTTTCTGATTTCAACACCATGTCTTTCCCTTAGAAACTACTAGAAACCCAACTTTATTCTCCTTTTTTATACCTGAGTAGATATTGTAACAAGGTTTGGGACACGATGGATCTAAGAGGAGATAGTAAATTTTAACTGCTAACAAGCAAATTCTGATATTTTTTAGAGATTAAATGCTAGTCCCACCATGAATACATAGAAACAAGAATTAATCAGCTATCTCACACTGTTAAATCAGAAAATAACCCTATGTCAACAAATGAACAGCACGGTTAGCTTTTAGTTGAGATAAAACTTAAAACTTGAATATATCCTGTATTGCAAATATCTAACACATAGTGAGGTCTCCCTGAGCCATGGAGAGGAACACTTCTCTAAAGGGCACTTCTAACAACATGATCACAAAAGAAAAAAGAATCAGATAGAGTTGCAAGTACTCTGCTTTGCATGTGCAATTTGTTTGTCAGATGTAAAAATGCAATGAAACGTGTACCTATAAAAATGGAGGCTGGGCTTCAGCCCTTTTGAAAATGCAAATAAAAATATATACTTTATTAGAAATATCTTTAAACAAAGCTCTCTGTTGAGCCTATTAGGCACTGATCCTCCTTAAGCCCTGAGTCACATTCTACCAGTGCAATGTACTCCCCTGTGTACAGCAGTCCTACTCCATGGGCTGCTGCAAGGTTGGAATAGGGCCATGGTCCTTCCCCTTTTGGAGCAATATACTCCCCAGAATGCATAAACTGAGCAGTCCCTGTGCTCCCCAGAGCCCAGAATTGTAATTCTGATATGTTCTTGTAAACGGTGCTGAATGGAGAAGGGGTCTATTCTTTCTTTCTCCTGATCA